ACCTTTCTTTCATGATATTTACTCCTACTCAATTTATTAAGATAATTATTCTTATAGGCTTTGTTCTGCCTTTTGAATATTTTATTTAATCAGAATTATATTCTGAGTCATCTTTTCCCCTCACTATTTGTGACCTTTCTGGGCAATTACATTTATTTCCATGGATTAAGATACTACTAATTTACAATGATTTTTTAACTTGAAGTTTATGCCCTGACTTCCCTTCTGTGATTCTTATTTTATATTTAACCACTGGCTTTATTAACTGCACTTGCATCTCAAAATGTCCTAAACAGAACTCATTACTTTCCCAATTTTCCTCCACTTTCCAAATTTGATTCACTGTATTTCTTGTCAATTAATTGCATCACTAGTCAGTTAAGCACATGAGAAAGAAATGTATATAAGCCTCTTCCATTTTATAATATTCTCATAGGATCTTGCTTTCTTCTTTGCTAGGCTTGTCTTCTCTTCTAAGCTTACCTTCTTGAAAGTATAGTATACTTTTGTTTTTACTTCCTCACTGTCCATTTACTCCTTTATGTTAATCAATCTTGTAGCTCCATTAATGCACCAAAACTGCTACCACCAAAGTCATCAAAACCTTCACTGTGGAAAGAGACATTTATGTTTGAAGGAAACTACAATAGTGTCAAAATGAGTATAAGGCAATACCTGGCATGGGAGGAGGTTATTAATAGGATTCCTAAATTGTAGACTCTTTAGGTCAAGAGATATCAAACAACAAATAAAGAGTTTCCATAATCTGAGCACCATTCTGGAGGGAGTGAAAAAGAGTATTGTCAACAGATAGAGGAGAGCGATGAACGTGGCTACAGAAGGAGTGGGAAGAACAGAGGGGAGGGCACAGATTCCAAGAAGCTCTTATCAAGAAAGTTGTCAAGTCCAATTGAGACTTGTCAGTCAACATCTTAATGATTTTTATTTTTTTGCATGCACCACTCTTAACAGTGAAATGCTTGTGAAACTTTTAATAAGCTTGGCTTCTAATAAGTGAATTTATGCTGGTTCTTTGTTCTTCTGTTTCTGCCTGCCTATTAAATATTGGTCTATGCTAGAGTTTCTTCCTTGGCCAACTGATCTTCCTGCCAACACTTTCCTTATGTGAATATGCCTGCTTATTTTTATACACTAATGATTCCCAAAGAAACAACACTAAATCTCTTGACTCCTAATAGTTCAGTTACTCTTGGCTTTTCCTCATGTCATTCCAACTAGACATACTTAAAATAGAAATCTTTATATCCCATGCCCATTCTCTTTTCTCAAACCACTCTTGTACTCCTGACCACCTCTTTACTCAAGCCAGGAAATAAAAGGCCTCCTAGACATTACTGTCTATCTCATTCCTCATAATCAATCTATTATGAAGTTTTGCCAGTCCTCCCACCCCCATTATACTTGTGTGGTTTTCAATTCTACTGTTACTGCTCCAAATCACATTCTCTAGGTCTGTCCTTTGGATCAAGGTTTTTAAAAATGTATTGAATGTGTCAAACACAGGGTAACACTTTATCTGTACCATTCCAAATCTCATATAATCCTTACAACATCCCTGTGAGATAGGATCTGTTATTGTCTGAATTTTATTATGAGTGGCAGAGCCGGGGCAGTGACCTAGGTTGGTCTCATTCAAAAGCCCCACTGGGGACCTCTGCATAATATTGCCCACCCTTGGCAAAGGCCTCTTAATTGGTCTCTTGGCTCCTGACTGTACTTTTTTGTTTCCATTTTCTTTTCCTTTATTACATATGTCAAAATAATCTTTCGAAAATGCAAATTAAATTATCTCTCTTCTGTCCCTCAGCAACCTCAGTCCAAGCTCCTTAGAAGAGCTCATAAAACTCTTCATAACTTGCTGCTTCCTGGCCCTCTCATCTCCTCTTTCCCATACTCCTGACACCACCTCAAAATTTATTACTATATAGAGGTATTTGTTATTTACTCCAGGAAGCTTGTTTTTCACATTTAATCTCTCTTCTAAGAGCACCTTTCTTTAAAACACCGCTTTCTAGATTTGGCGGGATTGTCCCCTCTTCTAAGGAAAGGGGAAGAGGGGGAATGGTGCTTCTTTCCCCTAAAACAGGTGTCATTTATTTTCCCTCCTTCTGAGAGATCCTAGTTCAATTCCTTATCACTTTAGTCTTATTTTTTATAATAGCCATAAATGTAACAGCCCTGTCTCTGATTTTCTCTCCTTCACACTCAGCAGTGGTTCTCAAATGTAGGGGACCACGAGGATCACCTGAGAAGCTTGTTAAGCTGCAGATTCCTGGGTCCCAACCTCAGAGATTTTTATTCAGTAAGTTTGTGGTCAGTGTGGTGCAGTGGCTCATGCCTGTAATCCTAGCACTCTAGAAGGCCGAGGCAGGAGGATCACTGGAGGTCAGGAAGTTGAGACCAGCCTGAGCAAGGGTGAGACCCCCATCTTTACTAAAAGTAGAAAAAAATAGCTGGGCATCGTGGCGTGTGCATGTAGTCCCAGCTACTTGGGAGGCTGAGGCAGGAGGATTGCTTGAGCCCAGGAGTTTAAGGTTGCTGTGAGCTAGGCTAACACCATGGTACTCTAGCCCAGACAAGAGAGCAAGACTCTGTCTCAAAAAAAAAAAACAAAAAACAACTGAAAAGTCTGTGGTGGAAAGAAGGAATAACTTCTTACTAAGCATTCCAGGTACTTCAACAGCAGGTGACTAAGTACCACCGATGGAGATACCCTGTTTTGTGCTATCAATAAAACTTCTTCCCAAAACTCTGATATGATCAATTTATATGCAAAAATGCTTTTAATGTCTCTCTTTAGTCTAGAATATATTGTTGTATCATTGACAGGTGATATTAAGATCTCTGCACAGTTTTCTAACTGCTCTTTGAAGAACATTTCCCTGCACTCTGTCCCCACTCCCCACCTCCTTGTATTCTGGCAGTTTTTCTACCACAAATACTTTAAAATGCCCTATGCTGTCTATATGCCAGATGCTTTTTTTTTTTTTTTTGCCTCAGTTGGACACTATTCTGGTTTTGTTTATGTTCCATCTGCCTGCCTGCCTGCAGTGCCTTCTGAACCATTCTCTAATTAGTGAACTCCTAGTCATCCTTCAAGCTGCAACTCAACTACCACTTTCTTGACATGGCCTTTTCTGAATCTGCTGCCTTTGCCTCTATCTTTCCCACTCCTACTGTGGCCAGATTCATTGTTGTCCTGTGTTTGTTGGCATCACTCTTTTTCACGTCTATCTAGAATGCTGCTGAGATTATGGAAACTCTACTGAGTGCTAGAGAACCAATAATTTAGAGATTTTATATCATTTACATCATGTTCTCAGGCCAGGTATTGCTTTGTGTACTCATTTGACACTATTGTAGCTTCCTTTAAACATGAATGCCTCTTTTCACAGTGACAAGTAGCTCTTAAGTGTGAAAAGAGAAATGGCATGAGAAGGGCCAATGTGCATGCATGCCAACACATTGACATGTTCTTCCAAAATGCTTTCAAATTGTCAATCTAAATAAGATTTTGGTTTCTTTCAAGTTTCAGAAAATTTGTATCTAACACTAGAACAATGTAAGTGTTGTGTTGAAACTTTAAAAAGTGCCACCAAGTCACTACTATCTAAGTCCTCTGTTCAGTGTCTGTCATTATTTTCAATTCTGACAGACTTGGCACTTGAGGGTTCTACAGCTTCTGGTGACATAATGTGAGAAGAAGCTAGAAATACAAAATAACAAGACACACATAGAGAAGTGAACAGGGTCACTCTCTTCCCCCGGCTGCTTCTGTTCACGTCCCCATCACAGCCAACAAACTATTATCAAGAACCATTAATTTAAATTCAGGTGAAAATTGTGTTCTCTCATAGTGCTTGTTTATCAAGGCCTTTTCAAACTTTTATTTAGATTACACTGCCTAGAGCTCTAAAATGCATCACTGATCTTAAGGTTGCCTACATACCTTTACTTTCTGAAGATGTTCAAGGAATATAATAATCTTGTTTTCTTTTTAGAATAGGAAGAGATAGATGTGTGGGAGTATATCTGAGTAATCGTTTTCTGGGGGATATTTTAAAGATAAGTGAGAACAGTTCTTAAAATATAAATTACAAAATTATTTGGCTGAAATAGATTGCAATTACATTGGAAATAAGGGAGACCATTTGTAATTATGGTGTAAAGTAAGTGACATTATTTAGCTATTGGATTTGGAATGTTAAAGAAGAACAGGATCCAAATATTATCAGTTATCAGTGCCTGAAAGTTGAATGGGGAACTGTGAATTCTGCATTGTTTCTCTCACAGAACTGGAGATCCTAACAGCCAATGGTGAGGGAGGGGGAAAGTATTGTCAAGAAATTTAGGTTTGGTTTGTATTACTCTTACAGCACAGAACAGGGATAAATGTTGACCTACTGCTAGGGCTGGGTTTGTTCACTTCCATAGGATACTGAAGCTTACTTCCCAGTTTGGAATACCAAAGTGCACCATATGTGCACTAAATCACTGTGCCAAATCTATTTAAATGCCCTGATACCATTTGGTGTAGAACTGCAGAGACTTTCTGAGTCAGGGTGTGCATCAGTGTCTCTCTGAACTACAAAGGACTCAGAGAGAGTTATGGGCATGTTGAACATAGTAAAACAATAACTCATTTTTAAAAAACAATACAATCATCATTGATTTTTTTTTAAATGAAAAGCCGCTATTATTTGAATAACACGCATTTCTCTGGCATTACAGTTTCTTTTCCACAACATTGCCATATGATACTCCTATCCCTGTTCTAGTTTCTTTGGTGAATTAAGCAACAGAGCATGTAGAGGAAGCACTAAAATAGCTGCTTTTCATTGAACGTAAAGAGAGGGTGCTTTTCTCGCACCACCCCTGTCCCATCACGACGTCTGGGTTTCCTGCCCCATTGGCGACGCCCCCCACCTCCACCCCCACCTGCTTCCTGTGCTTCAGAGCGAGCCGAGCCAGCGTGCCGTCCCGCTCGGCTTTAGCGCCCGCTGCAGACGGCACTAGGACCCGGGGAGTCCCTGAGCGAGGTTCGCGCAAAGGCAGCCAGACTCCTCCTTATCTCCAGTGTCAAACTTGACATCAGCCTGCGAGCGGAGCATGGTAACTTCTCCAGCAATCAGAGCGCTCCCCCTCACATCAGTGGCATGCTTCATGGAGATATGCTCCTCTCACTGCCCTCTGCACCAGCAACATGGATTGTCACCTCTCCATCCTCCTCCTTCTCAGCTGCTCTGTTCTCAGCTGCTTCGGGGAACTGATTCTCCAGCCTTCCAATGAAGGTAAGCCAGGTACAGCGACGCGCGCAGCGCTGCCCCGCGGGGCTCACGCTCCTCCAAGCACGTTCCCACCGAAGCCTTTGCACGTCCTTAAGGTGCCTCCGAATACAGCAGTTTGTTCTGAGAGTGAACGAAAGATGTGCTTTTACTCCCAACTGTCTTCTAAAGCACTTTGGGAGATCGTTTTGGATTGTCTAAACCTTCAAAATGTGTTTTTAATCTGATACCAATTTCAGCAATTACCTTGTTTGCCAATTCGAAGCAGAAAGAAAGAAAGAAAATACTCCAGTTTTGCAACCCAGTATGTTAATTGCCAAATCGCCAAGGCAGTATTTTATTTTCTAATTATGACCATGTGGTCCTCTGAGAAGTTTAAAAGAAAATTCAACCCTGCTCTCTCTCTAGATTCTTTAGTAGGTTTAAAGGTAATGACAGGTTGTTCCTACTTGGGATCATGGCATTTATGAATGGACTAAAGAGAAATCAGAGTTTCACGAAGCGGAGGTGCGTGTGTGTTTATGTTGCAACTGCTGTATTGAAGTGATGTGTACCCCGCCAGGCAGTGGTTTGCTCTATGGTACAGGTTCTAATGAGCAGCATATGCCACATTAACATAAGTAATATTTGCAGGAATTACAATAAGCGTAGGTGGGATTCTCTTTGTTTAAGGGCTTATATACAAATAGGAGAATGTATTTAATGAATAGTGAATAGCTGCTGGGAAGATATAGTAAATAACTGACTAGCAAATTAAGAAAGAATGTTTATATGCTGCAAATGGCATTTCCTTGATGTTGGTTATTTATTTTCCTTGCAGTGGGCATGCATACCTTTTCAATGGATTCAAGTGAAAACCTAATATTAAGTACAGTGATGTTTCCTATAGGATTATGTACTTAATAGATACATTTTCTTTTCCCTGTATATCTTTTGTGATCTGTTTCTAATGATTTGTGAATATAATCACTAACTCTTAAGAAAAACTTCTTTAAATAATTGATTGCTTTAAAGCAACATATACAACTTAAATTTCTTCTTGATGATTTAAACTTATAACAATAGCATTTAGCAATGTATTTTGCAAATTAGCAATACTAAGCAATTGATGTGCAAATGCCACATTGGAGATATCACTCATTAAAAAATATAGTGTCAAGACAATACTGTTGTATATGGTACAGTATACATTATTTTAAAAAGACAAGTCAAAACAAAATATTGAGAAACTTTTTCATTAAATGTAAAACTGCCTCTTATATTTGGTGACCTACTTTCACTGCTAATAGAGCAGTTTAATTTCTTTCTTGCCTTAGTGACTGCCTTTATCAATTTGGTAGATTTCATTAAATTTTCCTGTGTCTTTCTTTAATTGGGAAACTGAAAATATTCTAAAATGTAAGGATGAAGAGAATCATCTTACCCACAAATGATTTTTTTTTACAAACCAAATTAAAAAATGTTAATTTGAAAGTAAGAGTCAATCATTCTTCATGAATGAAAGGCAAGAGTAATCATTTGTATAATGAGTAACACCCCAAAAAGTAAAAATTGGTATTTTTTTAAATCTTCTTGTTTTGTGAAGATATTAAAATATTAACAATAACTATAAAATAGTATTATAATTCCCACATTGCTATGAAAAATTATATTTTTCCAGGTGAAATATTTATTAACTATTTAGATAATGGATATTACTGAATTAATAATACACAGGAATACAGTTGAGAGTCATTATTTTTGTGGAAAACATTACCTTTAAGGAAATTCCAAGAGAAAAAAATGACCCTTTAAACTTATTCACACCTATGTAAAAATTTATGAATATTAATTTAATGAAACAGGGATAATAATATGCAAATTGCTTTTAAGCCTCACATTGTGTATGTTCGGCTATATAATGTACATAATTATGCAGTCAGGTACACACTAACAATATGTATATAGGAAGGTAAGTATACTCGGGAAACTAACATGATTACATTTAATTTGCTTGGATAAAAGTTTATCTATCCATCCTTCAGTCATCAGATTATTCTTTCCAGATTGTGTCTTATGGGTAGTATCTCCTCAACCTTCTACAGTTATGAAGGAAAGCTTTAAAACAAATTTAAGATGAATGATTTAACTAAGGTAATATTGAAGTGAGGTTTTAAATATTAATCAAATAGCTTGTCTTTTAGTAGTTGAGTTGAATAACATGAAAAGTGAAAATTATGAGTATATGCCAAAATTTTCATGCAATTGTTCTATGTAATTTGAATAGAAAGTAATGCTCTGAAAATTCATATATTGAGGGAGTAATGATGAAATGAATCGTATTAATGTAGATTTCTGATATAATTTTGAAAAATATATGTAAAATACTAAAATGCATTTAAAATACTATGCTCAAAATTATATTTCAACACTATAGAAAATTTATTAGAATTTACCAAAAAATATTTGCTAGAATATATTCTTCAATTCATTCTTCTGTTATGAAGTTAGTCATGATAGAACTAAAAGGGAACAAAACCAGGCCATTGAGTTACTTGCTAGGAAATGTGAAGTTGTGTAATTTTTTAAAATTTTGAGATTTGATAATCAAATATCAATATTGAAATAGCCTGCCTTCTTATAAGAATAAGAACTTAGGAAAAGTATAATCTTAATTCCCCTTTTATTAATCCAGTTACAAATAATTTTCCATCACTGGTCTCCTCAATTATAATACACATTCATCATTCCAATAATCACTTAACTCAAGAACCGGGCCTGTATACTTAAACAGAACTTTATAGAAACTTCATTATAATCTTATCAGCTCTTTCTGTTTACATGACATAGGAAAAGACTTCCAATGGGAAATCAACTACTTTTCATGGCAAAATATGATTGCTACACTATGTATGACTTTAAAAGTTGATATATTTTCTCCCTGTTTCCATCTCAGATAGATTATTAATGATAAATGCAAATAACTTTGGAAAGAGATTAAAACTTGATGTAATATGAAGTTACTATTATTAGTTCAACCTTTTTAGAATTGGATAAAGTACTCTCTTCAAATACTTTAATACATTTGAAGCAGTATTAAAGTCTGAGGCAAAATGCATGGCTTATTCATCAGTATATAATACACTAAATCATTTTTCTATCCAAAAGTGTTCATAAATTGGATTAACATTTACCCACAGAGCTCTTTACATTGAAAATCAGAGTTTTCAAAATAGAACTGAATAAATTAAATCTACATATTTATATACTACTTATTTTGGAAACTTTTTTTTTAAGTAGCTGGGACACTGTTTCTATGAAATGCATTTCCCTGAACATAAATCTCCTAAATGCTAAAGGAGACTATGTGATTGTGTGATTGCTTATAGCTTAAAAGTAAAATGTGCAGATGAATGTTATATGCTTGCCTGTGAGTATTAGGCAAATGTTGGAGACAAATAAATAGCAGTTTTTTCCCTTTTTACAAATTACTATAAATTGGCATCACTTTTCATACATAAACACTTATCCTCAAATAAGAACACAGTGTGACTGAAACATTAATAGAGAACTAAGCTATCATATCATCTTTATAGGGTTTTTTTTGGAGGAGGGTTTACATTTGCTTTTAATAGCATTTCTTCATGCTAGACTAAATAATTGAATGCATTATACATTTTTGTAATTTAATAGCTCTCCTAATAGCTTGCCCCTACATCCCCCTCAACAGTTATAACTGTGCTATTTGCCTGAAGGTAGGAGAAACCTTAATTTCACTATTTTATAACCCACAACAGTTAACACTTGACCTAGGTCATTAACAGGATTATCAACAAATTTGTTTAAGCTTTTACTGACAATCTGAATTGCTACGATAATATTTTGATTGTGCCGGAAAGAAACTTCTTGTAACCTCTCAAAATCCGTCATGAAATTAATTCATTCTGAATCTATATCTTTTAAAGACTAATATTAATAATAATAATTCAAGTGGGGAAAATATTCACTTTGATATCCCATTTTCCTTATTTTTATGTTTTACACATCACACCATTCCAGTGCTTCTCATAAATTAGCAATTACAAACCCTTTTAGAGATTAAGTGTTCTAGCAATAATAGATTTATAAATACTGAATAGCTTTACTATCATCATTTTTAATTTTATGGTTTTTTACTATTGGTGCTATGACTATTGTAATTTTTTCTACCTAAGGTAAAAAGTCAGTTGGTTATATTTATAACTCAGAAGTGACTGAAACTATAAAAGGGGAACTACATATAATAAAACACCATTGCCACATGTTAGATCATGGTTGTATTTTATATAAAGTTATCTTTTCCATGAAACATACAAATTGGAAGCTACAATGAACAACACTTAAAACTAATATAAAAATTTAAAACAAAATATTATACACAATCAGAACTTAATTTTTTTTCATTGTTTAGTGAGTTTAGAAAGTTTTATGTAAAGTTTTTATTACTTGAACTTATAGTTTGCTCCTTGCTCACATAAATAATTTAGTAATTTTGCCTTGCTATTAATTAAATCATTTTTAAAGATATGATTTAGTAAAATATTTCTATCATGTTTATATATTATCCACATTTTAATATTCAATTTTTGGTTTGTTCTTTAAGGGTCCAATGACTTTTAATACTTTCTTACAATAACTATCTTTATAACGATCCCTAAACGTTAAAATCGATTCAGAAAATCTGCAATTTTTCTGAAGTAAAATAAACACAATTTTTAAATATCAAATAATCAGTTATTTTTGCAAAGGGATTTTTAAAGGCAAAACATATTTCCACTGTATATTTGATTTACTAACTTCACTTCAAATGGAAACAGAAAGATGTGTTCTTGAGAGTTACATTTTTCAAGTCATAACATCTTCAAGAAAACATTAATACAACTTTCCACAAATCATCGAAACTGAATAAGTTCTTATAGACATTTCCTAAGAAATGTGGTGTGATGTGGCCTACCTTTGATTTGAGTCATTTTCCAATGATTTTGTTT